TTTCTTAATTAAAATGACACAACTCCAACCGTCATTTGTCAGCTATGATGAGCATAACGAATAGTCTCTGTATCGCGACCGTCGAATACACCAGTCTTCAATTGCGCGATCATTGGTTTGATCCAAGAATCGCGCCTGTGATCAAAAGAAAATTAATTTATCACGATAAAGAGAATCAGCTCAAGAGGGAATTACAGAACACACAATATGCGGCAAAAAAAAAAAAAAAAAAAAAAAAAAAAAAAAAAAAGGCTACTTCCGGTGACCAAAACCTGGATTCAAGCAATACGTCTGTGGAAGGTAAATAAGTCAGAAAACTCGGTGAAATTATTGAAGTCTTAACTGATAGAGGGTAAGTCTGGTATAGAAAAGAAATATCGGCCTGGTATACAAATAAATTTCTTCTGCAAAAGAATGGTGGAGCTTATCACCAAGATTTTTTGCACCAAGACTAAGGCGAGATCCATAAAAAATACAAAATAAAAAAACAATTAGGAACCAAACTAACAGGGAGCGGCTTAAAAGATCGGCCACGAGAATTGGTGATGCAAACAATTACATTCTGAACATCGTTTACCGAGCCGAAATGTTGATTGGGACTCTGCAAGATCGATGTTTAACCGAGTTAAGTTAAACGATTGACTCTTGGAAACTGAATTACTTAGATTCTTCTCAACAGAAGGGTAAAAAGCAAGAGATAAAAGAGTGAGATACAAAGGACCGTTAAAAATCATAATTGTTTATGCTGTTATCATCACCCGTTTCATTTTAGTTCTCAAAGAGGCACAAGTTGAGGCTGCTGAAGGAAACGAGGACTTTGCCGTCAACAATTCGTCAGGTGAGAAATTGATCGTGGTCAGCTTTTAGCATGTGCCATTGACGCAAACTCGATGAGGAAGAGTTTAACCTGTCCACAAACAGGGTCAGTTATATCGATTCAATCAAATTGATATCTTTTTAGTCCAATCAGTGGGGTTATCAACGTGCATGGAAATCAAACTGTATATTCCATGAATTGCACATTCAGTAAGGGTCCCTAAGTCGAAAATAAGTTGGCTTGTATCACGCGCAAATTGTATCTTATATATCGTTGCTATGATTTCAGAGAACGATAATTCAGGTGATCAAGATGTGGATCCAGACGAAGACCCCTTAGTTGGTAAGTGAGAGAACCAATGCGTTGAACTAAACGTTAAATCAGACATCCAATTAACAATTACAGTTAAACCGCTGCTTTAAAAGCGCTTTTCATTTAAGTGTTGTTAAACCAAAGCCAAAGCAATGTAAGCGCAAGCCAACGCTAACAAAATATCAC